TGGTTCTAGTGAGACTTAAAAGTCATGTTTGGTTGCAAAGGGCTCCCAGATGTTTTGTATGGTGTGCATTACTAAGGCCATTGCTCTTGTTGTTCGTTTGAACTTTGTTAAAGTTTTTTTTTTTATCTTATTGTGATTTTAGATTAGCCTTTGGATGCCAAGAATGTTTTTTCACATGGAGATCTACAAGATGAAGCATATATAATCTAAACAGTGGGGTATGTTGTTTCTACAAATGAACAATTAGTCCTTGGATTGAAGAAAGCATTTATAGCCTAAAGCCAGTGGCGGATCTATAGTCCCCAGTTGTCGCCACTGGAATTTTAAAAACTTTTGGAGAGTAAGTATTATTTCAAATATTTTAAAATTTATTAAAGATTTGCCCCCACTAATTTTTTTTTAATAAGATTTATAGGTAGTTATGATATTTTGACAAATATATGAGTCTTACTTATAAATATAAAAAAAATTTCTTTTAAAAGGCTAACTGCCTCCATTATGTATTAGATTAAATTGTTTTGATTTGGTGGTTTGAATAATTTTATTGTGATTGGTTAAGTAATTCCTATACCCAAGTTTAGTTTAATAGAATAGTCATAGTCTATGTTTGTTTCGATTGTTTGTTAAAATTCAACTATATATGATTGAGCCAATTTTTTTCGTTCAAAATTTTTTGTTAGGAAATTAAGTCTTATATATAAATTTATAGTGAGTTTTTTTTTTTGTTGGCTCTTTTTGTATAGCACTCATGTATATGAGGTACGACTTTAATTGACGTTCTATTAATGAAACTATACTTTTGTGAACATTAATAATTTTAATATTCATAAAATGTCTTGCTCCGCCCCTGCTTGAAGCATTATGCACTTTCTTTGCTAAACTCAGTACAATTCTGCATTAGTATGGTTGTCAACGCTTTAATTCGAATATTCTTTGTTTGCATGTCGATTCTCCACAAGGTTTCATTATTCTCATCTTCTATGTTGATGATATTATTATGAGTGACCATTTGAGAAAGTAGTTGGACAACAAATACTTAGGTCTCCTTCGTCACTTTATCAATATTGAGGTAGCCTCATCTAAGGAAGATATTAGTTTGTCTCTGCGAAATTATGTGTTAGTTTTGTTCTCTAAAACTAGTACTGTTGATGCATTCTCAATTGATAGCCCAGTGGACCTGTGAGAAACTTTCGACACCACGAATAGTAATTGGTGGTTGGTTTATAAATTGAGTTATCTCATAGTTACATGTCTTTACATTACTTATGCTATTGATATTGTCAGTCACTTTATACATACTCCTTGTTAGAGCATCTAACCTAAAATCAATTAGCAATGGGGGGAGTGGCCCCTCAAGCTCTCTTAACATCCTCCCTCACGTGGGACCCGGGGCTCGCAGTTGGGGTTAACAAACAAACTGAAAACTATGCATACAAGGATTCAAATGGGTTAGAGACTTGACCCACTGGCTAGCTGACACTTAGCTCTAATATTATGTTTGAGGATCCAACACAAAACCAAATGACTATAGGTGGAGTGACCCCTCAAGTATATAAACCGATCTTGGTGGTCCTAATTATTCGATGTAGGATACAAGTTCTCTTAATGCTCCTAAGCCTCACTAGGAGGTTGTTTGTCGTATTCTTTAATAGTTTATTAGGCATTTTGATGCTGACTGAGCAAACATGTATAGATAGACAGTTTACTTCTTGTTATTATGCTTTTCTTAGTGTGAATCTTGTTTCTTGGCTCAGTGAGAAACAAAATATGGTGGTGTGCAATTTCTTATATAGATGTATTGTGACAATCGTTTTAATTGCATTAATTAGCATTTCATAAGCGTATCATGGATGTATTGTAATTTTGTCCCTGATCTCTTGATGTAAATTGAGATTGTCCCTCTCTATGTGACGTTGGATGATCAACTAGGTAATATTCTTACCAAATCGTCGACTTTGTTCACCTTCAATAACTTTTATTCTGAGCTTGACATTTTCTGATTTTTGTGTTCCACCATGAGGGGGAGTGTTGAAGTTCTTTTTTCTTTTTGTATTTATTATTTAGAATGTTTTAGTGTAGCGCAATATTTTAATTGTCTTCAATATCAATCTAACAAAAATAAGTGATAGGGTATAGGCAACATATGTCCTATGCGCAAGATTGTTTCACAGTCTCTTTCTTCCCCTCTTCTTTGTTCACCTCTTCCTTTTTCCTAAACCCTAATGCTCAATTATTCAATTTTCAACTCAGACTTTTTGTTGTTTCCACTATATTTTTGTAATGCCTTGGGTTCTAAGCCCACATTTTATGTTGTGCCCAGTGATTTTATCTTTTTTGATTTGGGCAGCCAGGTTGGTACTTGCTTTAGGAGCTGAAGCTAAGCTCGATGTTGTACCAGGTGCTGCAGAATTCGCATTGCCGTTCTCCACTTTGAAGGATGCTCAAGTTAGCATTTGAACTAAGACATACCTTCTAGTAGTAAACTTACAACTGCCTTTATATGTGGCTATATTTGGCATGCAGAAGGTTGACGAGAAGTTGAAAACTTTGGAGCGGAAGAACTTCGGTAAGGACTCCCGTATTCGTGTGGCTATAGTCGGATGTGGTTATTCGGGAGTTGAGTTGGCTGCCGTAGTATCCGAACGACTGCAAGATAAGGGAGTTGTGCAAGCAATTAATGTGGACACCACAATCCTACCAAATGCTCCGCCTGGCAATAGGGCAGCTGCCTTAAAAGTAAGAAATTGAGTTCTATTATTATCAGATATGTCCATTGAAATTTCATAGTTACTAGTGTTTTTTAGCTGACATATTTTTAGTTTTGGAAGAAATTAACTGATCTCTGCTGAGTTTCCTAACATTTGGAGTTTCAGTTTATCCTCTGGTTAAATAATTATCCCTCAAACTTGAAACATTTTGGTGTTCTTCCACTATTCGGCATGACAATCCATTCATATAACCTTGCCTTGTCTTTAACGCGGTCTTCCAATGCCTTCCACCACTTGGTGGTATCCCGACTTTAAGTCTATCTTGATGAAGTAATGGGCTCCCTCAACTAGTCAAATGAAAATCAGACATAAAAAGAAAAAAAAAAGGTCATAGTTACATAATTTTCTTAATGTATGTAAGATGGTAGATCATTATAGAATATTATGTCCTGTTGTGGTTCATGATTCATAGAGTAGAAGAGCTTGGAATGTAAAGGATGGATTTTAGATCTGACCAAATTAGTCAAGACTTGGAGGCAAGATCCTATTTGTTATGATGAAATTTGTTAGGAGAAATATTGTAATTCACAAATTCTGTGAGATCACTATGTATCTTTTGTCTCAACTAAATTCATGGTGTCAAGAGGCTATTGAAGATCAAAACAACATATGGGGAACNATAATCTAAACAGTGGGGTATGTTGTTTCTACAAATGAACAATTAGTCCTTGGATTGAAGAAAGCATTTATAGCCTAAAGCCAGTGGCGGATCTATAGTCCCCAGTTGTCGCCACTGGAATTTTAAAAACTTTTGGAGAGTAAGTATTATTTCAAATATTTTAAAATTTATTAAAGATTTGCCCCCACTAAATTTTTTTTAATAAGATTTATAGGTAGTTATGATATTTTGACAAATATATGAGTCTTACTTATAAATATAAAAAAAATTTCTTTTAAAAGGCTAACTGCCTCCATTATGTATTAGATTAAATTGTTTTGATTTGGTGGTTTGAATAATTTTATTGTGATTGGTTAAGTAATTCCTATACCCAAGTTTAGTTTAATAGAATAGTCATAGTCTATGTTTGTTTCGATTGTTTGTTAAAATTCAACTATATATGATTGAGCCAATTTTTTTCGTTCAAAATTTTTTGTTAGGAAATTAAGTCTTATATATAAATTTATAGTGAGTTTTTTTTTTTGTTGGCTCTTTTTGTATAGCACTCATGTATATGAGGTACGACTTTAATTGACGTTCTATTAATGAAACTATACTTTTGTGAACATTAATAATTTTAATATTCATAAAATGTCTTGCTCCGCCCCTGCTTGAAGCATTATGCACTTTCTTTGCTAAACTCAGTACAATTCTGCATTAGTATGGTTGTCACCGCTTTAATTCGAATATTCTTTGTTTGCATGTCGATTCTCCACAAGGTTTCATTATTCTCATCTTCTATGTTGATGATATTATTATGAGTGACCATTTGAGAAAGTAGTTGGACAACAAATACTTAGGTCTCCTTCGTCACTTTATCAATATTGAGGTAGCCTCATCTAAGGAAGATATTAGTTTGTCTCTGTGAAATTATGTGTTAGTTTTGTTCTCTAAAACTAGTACTATTGATGCATTCTCAATTGATAGCCCAGTGGACCTGTGAGAAACTTTCGACACCACGAATAGTAATTGGTGGTTGGTTTATAAATTGAGTTATCTCATAGTTACATGTCTTTACATTACTTATGCTATTGATATTGTCAGTCACTTTATACATACTCCTTGTTAGAGCATCTAACCTAAAATCAATTAGCAATGGGGGGAGTGGCCCCTCAAGCTCTCTTAACATCCTCCCTCACGTGGGACCCGGGGCTCGCAGTTGGGGTTAACAAACAAACTGAAAACTATGCATACAAGGATTCAAATGGGTTAGAGACTTGACCCACTGGCTAGCTGACACTTAGCTCTAATATTATGTTTGAGGATCCAACACAAAACCAAATGACTATAGGTGGAGTGACCCCTCAAGTATATAAACCGATCTTGGTGGTCCTAATTATTCGATGTAGGATACAAGTTCTCTTAATGCTCCTAAGCCTCACTAGGAGGTTGTTTGTCGTATTCTTTAATAGTTTATTAGGCATTTTGATGCTGACTGAGCAAACATGTATAGATAGACAGTTTACTTCTTGTTATTATGCTTTTCTTAGTGTGAATCTTGTTTCTTGGCTCAGTGAGAAACAAAATATGGTGGTGTGCAATTTCTTATATAGATGTATTGTGACAATCGTTTTAATTGCATTAATTAGCATTTCATAAGCGTATCATGGATGTATTGTAATTTTGTCCCTGATCTCTTGATGTAAATTGAGATTGTCCCTCTCTATGTGACGTTGGATGATCAACTAGGTAATATTCTTACCAAATCGTCGACTTTGTTCACCTTCAATAACTTTTATTCTGAGCTTGACATTTTCTGATTTTTGTGTTCCACCATGAGGGGGAGTGTTGAAGTTCTTTTTTCTTTTTGTATTTATTATTTAGAATGTTTTAGTGTAGCGCAATATTTTAATTGTCTTCAATATCAATCTAACAAAAATAAGTGATAGGGTATAGGCAACATATGTCCTATGCGCAAGATTGTTTCACAGTCTCTTTCTTCCCCTCTTCTTTGTTCACCTCTTCCTTTTTCCTAAACCCTAATGCTCAATTATTCAATTTTCAACTCAGACTTTTTGTTGTTTCCACTATATTTTTGTAATGCCTTGGGTTTTAAGCCCACATTTTATGTTGTGCCCAGTGATTTTATCTTTTTTGATTTGGGCAGCCAGGTTGGTACTTGCTTTAGGAGCTGAAGCTAAGCTCGATGTTGTACCAGGTGCTGCAGAATTCGCATTGCCGTTCTCCACTTTGAAGGATGCTCAAGTTAGCATTTGAACTAAGACATACCTTCTAGTAGTAAACTTACAACTGCCTTTATATGTGGCTATATTTGGCATGCAGAAGGTTGACGAGAAGTTGAAAACTTTGGAGCGGAAGAACTTCGGTAAGGACTCCCGTATTCGTGTGGCTATAGTCGGATGTGGTTATTCGGGAGTTGAGTTGGCTGCCGTAGTATCCGAACGACTGCAAGATAAGGGAGTTGTGCAAGCAATTAATGTGGACACCACAATCCTACCAAATGCTCCGCCTGGCAATAGGGCAGCTGCCTTAAAAGTAAGAAATTGAGTTCTATTATTATCAGATATGTCCATTGAAATTTCATAGTTACTAGTGTTTTTTAGCTGACATATTTTTAGTTTTGGAAGAAATTAACTGATCTCTGCTGAGTTTCCTAACATTTGGAGTTTCAGTTTATCCTCTGGTTAAATAATTATCCCTCAAACTTGAAACATTTTGGTGTTCTTCCACTATTCGGCATGACAATCCATTCATATAACCTTGCCTTGTCTTTAACGTGGTCTTCCAATGCCTTCCACCACTTGGTGGTATCCCGACTTTAAGTCTATCTTGATGAAGTAATGGGCTCCCTCAACTAGTCAAATGAAAATCAGACATAAAAGAAAAAAAAAAGGTCATAGTTACATAATTTTCTTAATGTATGTAAGATGGTAGATCATTATAGAATATTATGTCCTGTTGTGGTTCATGATTCATAGAGTAGAAGAGCTTGGAATGTAAAGGATGGATTTTAGATCTGACCAAATTAGTCAAGACTTGGAGGCAAGATCCTATTTGTTATGATGAAATTTGTTAGGAGAAATATTGTAATTCACAAATTCTGTGAGATCACTATGTATCTTTTGTCTCAACTAAATTCATGGTGTCAAGAGGCTATTGAAGATCAAAACAACATATGGGGAACAAGTTCAAGCTACATAGCTATACATTGAAGAATTCTTGGATCCTATCAAGTTTAGGTGAGGTAAGTTGACCTAGATACCTAGTTGCCCTAGTAGGGTTTAAGTTAGGTTGTAAATTTGGATTTAGAGTGAGTATTTGATCCTTTCATGACTCTGTGTTTTTGGTGTAAAATGTTTTTGAAACTTTAGGGTTTTAATTTTCGAAAACGGTTTTTGAAATGAGTCATTGAATGAAGGCTTTCTGATTACACCCCTTGGTATTTAGTAGAGCCTTGATTTTTTGAGAAAACTAGTGGATAACGCTTAGCACTCTTGGGACTTAAGAAACAAGAAATTAAGCAAGGCATGAAATTACAATTCTAGAGAGTAGCGTTCTCCAGCGCTGGCCATAGCAGTTGACTGCTGCCCAAGAGTTGGTTGCAGTTTTATTTTCAATAGCCAGTGCCTGCTCTTGAAAGTGTGTTAAATTATCAGAGAATTCCCACGCGTAGGAAAGTTACCGTGTTTGTAACTCGGTCGATTACTAAGGTCGTCTCCTTAGAGAAAACAATTGGTTNGTAAGATGAATGATATGAGATCTAAAATATGCAATATTATATTCTCATTAGCCAGTGCTCTATGATCACTCTCCACAATGTTTGAGCATTGCGTCGTATATAATTTACTTGCACGCCAATCTAACTCTTGTTTTCTGTTCCTATAAATATAGAAAGACTCCTATGACCTAATAGACGTCCAAGAGAGTTAGGGAGAGACTCTAGGGTTTAATAGAGGCTACATTTCAAGAGCGAACACACCCTAAATAAGATCAAAACTCAATTCCTTCAAAATTAGGACTCATATCCATAAGGATTTAAGCGTCTACTGTTGATGATCTTGAAAATCCATCAAACCACACAAATGATCCAAGGAAGCAAATCAAAGATCAACGAGAGGATTCCAAAGGAGAAGAAAGAGGATTCCAATGATAGACTAGGGAGTTGGTTTGTTGCCAGTTGAAACTAGTTGTCAAGACTCTTGTGGTTGATTTTTGGGGTGAAGATTCAAGGGAGGAAACTTCAAGCCATAAAATTGGTTGAGGTATAAGTCCTCAAATTTGCAATCTAAATTTGAAACTCGTGGATTAGGTTAGATGGGCCAGGATTGGTCCCGTGGGTTTTTTTGAGAGGGTTTTCACATAAAAATTGTTTGTGTTGTATGATTGCCATCTTTCACATACCTGCAATTTTTGTTCCTTCTTTATACTTGGATTAATGATTGAGTGAACCCGACTTGTGTTGTTGGCCGTTCAATCTGAATATATTTTGGTGGATTGATGGAAAGGAATGGATTTTGTTTCATTGAATTGCATTCTGTGACACCCCTAAAACCGGGGGTCCCGTTGACCACCCGTCAACCCGCAGACATACCTATGATTGTCGCATAACCCAACATCACGTCTATCACATCCCTGTAACCAGGATTTCAACTCACACGAGGATCGGTGTTTCCTTTTATCATTTAATCCTATCGAGCTTCAATATACCCCAATAGATCTCATTTAAGGTCTATTTGTATCCCCGGAACCAAAGAACACATAGTCCAAAAGCCTGACAATGCATTCTTAAGATTTCAGATTTTTGAAAAATCTTTTGGAAGGTTTTGTTATGGACCTTCCAGAAGGTTTGCTCCCTGGAAAATTTCTACCGGAAGGTTTTATGTATCTTTCAGTAGGTTTTACCTTCTGGACTAATTTCTACCAGAAGGTTTTACTTATCTTCCGGAAGGTTTGCCCACTTGATGAAAATTTCATGAACCTTTCGGAAGGTTTTGTGGACCTTCCGGTAGGTTTTTCCTATTGGACAGAAAATTTACGCTAACATTCTGGAAGGTTGTTGTGACCTTCTGGAAGGTTTTGCCCAGAATTTCATGCTTCATCAAGTTTTCATTTTCAATTCATCCAATATCTTTCCAAGCTCATTCCAAACATGGATAATGACATTTTCTACATTATACATGATTCATATAAGTTCTATTACATACATTTGCATAATTTTTACATGTTAAAATATTGTTCCAACAAAGATTACACAAAAGATTACACAAAAGATGCCACAAAAGCCACAAGTCGGCTTTTCTTCATCGTTGAGGCCCCGAATGCGAGTACTTTCCCGGTACGAACTCCGCACCAGAAATGGTTCCCTTATAGGGTGAATCAACGTTCAGTAGAATATTTCCTACAGAGGCTACTCTCCACCTAAGTACATATGCAATGGTCTCATGCAACAATCACCATCATTTAATCATTCCAATCAAGAATATACATATTTCATGTTGGAATTTATCATGCCATGCCATGAATGAAATGAGAGTCACTCACACACCTCAACCCAAGCCTACTCCGGCTCTCACCACACTATGCCATATAAGTGTAAAACCTTTATCATCGATGAAATACTTCCAATGATCATCTTTGAAACAAAACTCATATGTTCATAAAAAAAACCAATTCATTTCTGGATGTTTCCCATCAAATGAATCATTTATATAACCAAAAATCATGTGTCTTTATTTGGGTAGTGGACTTTTGGTGTTGCACCGCCGACTCTACACGCCGATACACTTTTTTGCACTCGCATCGTCGGAAGTGTATAAACCAATAGCCGGGCCTTGCACCCGAGGGGGATTTATCCTTTCTTGCTATACCCGACACAAGTTTTTCATATATGCAACCGTGCGACTTAGTAGGATATTCAATCCCACTTTCTCGAGCCCACCCATCACACACCAAGTCTGGTGATTGATCTAACCATGCACTCACACACCTATACTCATAGCCATGGATGTATTTTTTCCGTGCAAATGCAATGTGATACACCATTGCTTAATCAATGTCATGCTCAATGTAATGAATGTCAATGAGTCAAATTTAAACCACACATCTCAACATGTGTCATGACAATTTATATCATATGTATAAAATCACCAAAATTCATTCTCATGTCAATAGATCAACTAGCATGTATCAACATTTATATACCCAACACATCTCAAGCATGGTATTACATAATCTCATGCCAATCACTCAATCACAAGGCATAATATTAAGCATATGGTATGCCCACAAAATCACTTTTCCATGAAATTACCAACCAAGCAATTTCCATATCTCAATTTCAAGTTAGAAAATCTATTCTAATTCATTTCACTACCCCTTTTCACACCCATTTCATCTATTTCATATGCATAGGTGTGTGATATATATATTCCTTTTTAACCTATACATTTCATATAACACTATAGGTAGGAAATGAACCAAAGTAGGAGAACCCTTACCTCTTGAAGCATAAAAGAAAGGGAGAAACTTCAAGAACCACTCCCAAGCCCTAAACCTTTGATTTCACAAAATCCTTCCCTTGGATCTTCAGTGAAATCCCTCGTTCTTGGTACGTACGCGTAGCTCTCGTTGCATAGACTAACTTTAACTCTTGGTTCGAAGGGTTCCAACTGACGGAACTTTGAAAATCGGAGAAGAAAGCTTGAAAAATTTATTTTTTCCTCTTCTCTCTTCCAACGTGTGGTGTGCTGACCAAGGGTGAGAAAATATTTGATTTTTCAGATATTTCGCTCTATTTATACTTTTTAATTGCGCGGTCCACATTGTCCCACACGTTTATCACTTTTCGTTTTTAACCCGAAATGACTTAATTAAATTATGGTTTCAGTTTAAATTAATTTTATTAAAAATTTTATTCAATTATAAGAAAATTTTATAATTTTTATTTTTAGGGACCTTTAAAAGTTTATTGGTGACCCAATTGTCTCGAAAAATGTGTAAAATATGACTATCTCGGAATTCGACGAAAATTGACGTGGTAACTCAATTTCACGATATGAATCCAAGGGTTAAGTCCGTTGCTCCTTTCGAGCTCTTTAGAAATATGCATTTTAAACCCTCATAATAGTGACAATTTACTATTTTGCCCTTTGTCGAAAAAAGTTTAAATTTTCCTGGGTTTTACACATTCAAAGGCTCAACTGAACCATTCGGGAAGATAATTCATTGTGCAGACCCAACGACAACTGACAAGCTGCTTTCCATGAGGAATAGTAGTAAGATACTATGTTTGATTTCATGGAGGGTTTTCATTTTTTCATCCATAGCCAATTTCCAACCAGGTGATACCAAAGCCAGTTTTAAGGAACTAAGAGCAAATTAAGAAGACAGAATTGATGCAAAACACCAAAAGGATGACGAAATCTGATGTAGAAAAAACAAAATTAGAAATAGGATGCTTGGTACAAGTACGGGTACCTTTCCTCATTGCAATAGGCAAACTAGCTGACGGCTCAGATAATAAGACCATAGTAGAATTAGATGATAGT